TTGAGACATGATCTTGCTCTGTATCCCAGGATGGAGTGCAGTGGTGCTGCCATGGCTTACTGAAGCCTGGACCTCCTGGGCTCAACAGATCTTCCTGCCTCAGCCTCCTCAGCAGCTGGGATTACAGGCATTGCCACCACACCCAGCTGATTTTTTATATTTTGTAGAAATGGTCTCTAGACCAGCCCTGGCTGGCCTCTAACTACTGGCCCCAAGTGATCTACTGCCTTGGTCTCCTAAAGTGCTGGAATTGCAGCCATGAGCCAGTGTGCCTGGCCGAGATTTAATTCTTGCAAACAGTATATTGTTAGAATCTGTTTTATTTTAGTCAGAAACCCTTTGCCTTGTAAATATTATGCTTCATTATTTTCTGCTGTCAGGATTCTTGCATATCTGATTCCTGTGTTTTGTGGCTCAACGTATTGTGCTTTCTTGTTTATTTATTTATTTATTTTTGAGACAGGGTCTCGCTCTGTCACCCAGGCTGGAGTGCAGTGGTGCAGTCATGGCTTACTGTAGCCTCAACCTCCTAGGCTCAAGTAATCTTCCCACTTCATCCTCCTGGGTAGCTGGGATAAAATAAAAATTATCTGGCCACATGTGACCATGCTCGGATAATTTTTGTATTTTTTGTAGAGAAGGAGTTTTACCATGTCACCCAGGCTGTTCTTGAACGTTGGGGCTGAAGTAATCCACCCACCTCGGCCTCCTGAAGTGCTGGAGTTACAGACGTTAGTCACCTTGCCCGGCCATGCTTTCTTATTTTAATGCTCTCTTGGTACCTCTCTTCTACCTCTCTTCTGTCTTGTCTCTTAAACGCAGAAGAGCCGAGCTCCCCTCCCTTCCCCTCTTTTTCTTGTTTTCTTTCCTTTTCTTTTCTTTTTTTTTTTTCCTTATTTTAAGGGACAGGTCTTACTCTGTCACCCAGGCTGGAGTGCAGTGGCATGATCACCATTTACCGCAGCCTTGAAATTCCAGGCTCAAGTGATCCGCCGGCCTTGGCCTCCCAAAGTGTTGAAATTGCAGGCATGAGCCACCACGCCTGGCCAAATTTTCTTATGCTAGACCTGTTTGTAGCCAGCCCATATGGTGGCATCCTTTTTTTGGTCAAGCTTTGTGTATTACTGAGTGTTTAGTCACAGAGAACATGCTACTCAGTGCTTTGTTTCGTAGCTATTATTTAGTTCATATCAAACCATGAAAATGAAAAAGTACTGAAGAACATGGAAGAAAAATAATGCAGAATGGTCTCCTTTCCAGAAAGGAATCGTATGTGGTATTTTATTAGTGAGCTCCGAGGACATAGTGTTTACCAGTGTTGGTGCTGCAGGGGCGTCGGGAGCAGGCTCAGTGCTGCTGCTGTCTTTGAAGGCATTTCTGCTCGAAGTCTCAGAGTTGCCTTCTCTCTTGTGTGATGCTGGTTTTGCTCACTGGTTGGTCTCGTATAGAGCAAGCCTGATTTCTTCCCCACTCGGCTTTGGGTTTTCCAGCTTTGAAAAACTATCTTTTCTTTCTTTTCTCTTAACACTTAAAAAATAATTCTGGTTCATGGCAGGGCTG